CATGGCAACCTCGTTTAGGGTTTAGTGCCAAACCCCATCCCTGAACAGTCAGGTTCCCCTGAGTGACCAGGGGACATGGAGTAATATGTATGTATACATATATATATATATGATTGGTGTAGCTGCCAACCTTTTAGCCCCTAAACGCTACAATACTTAGCTCTACTTGAATTCCTAAGCCTAAACCCGAAACCCAAAACCCTATGCGGTCAGGAGGCCGCTTGTTCAAGCTCGGTCGCAGGCGCATGAAAGTTCGACTCTATCAACCGGGTTGAGGGTTTCGACGACGTCACCACTACATAGCCCCCCCCCCCCCCGGGCCAAGAAACAAAATGCGCTCACTTTTTCTCTCGCGTAAAAAACATCGCTCGCTGCCGTGGTGCCGCTGAGCCGGACTCAGCTACCCCTCGGAGGCATCCCTGTCATGCGCGCGCAAGGCTAAGTTCTGAACTGAGGCGGCATCTTGTAGGAAGAGGACTATCGAGCCGACTATGGAAGACTCCAAAGCCACGAAGGCAGACATGGGGGAAATCCCACGAACCCTGAACCCTGAACCCTGAACCCTGAACCCTAAACCCTAAACCCTAAACCCTGAATCCTAAAGTTACAGGAAGGGTCACTCTTGTCGCCCTCGTCCACACCGGGACCGCCACTCCACTAGGCAAGGCCTACTCCTTCCGCCATCGGTCAAGACCGCGGGATTTGGATCCACGAGCTTCAGTCTTGTATGGGCCCCTTAAAAGGGGATCCCTTACACAACCCTTACAAGACCCCATGGAACTACCCTTAGGCTCAGAGAACCAAATGAGGGGCCTGGGCGTCATGGGTATTGAGGTTGCGTAAGGAAGCTTCGGGAGCCGAAACTCTGGCAACTGCTTCCGCAGGAACTTGCCTGCCGAAGAAAGGGCTTGGCTGGCCTCGTCTGGGAGGCAGGTCGACTGACTCGGCCCCTAAAGGTTTAGGGTTTAGGGTTTAGGGTTTACCCTTTACCCTGAAGACCTAAGCACCGAATCATCCAAAACCCTGAAGCCCTAAACTAGACAAAACCCTAAACCCAAAGACCCAGAAACACAAAGCCCGAGACACTGACCTTCGCATGGGGGTACCCTTGTGCGCTTGGAGATGCTTGGTGCCATGAGAGAAAGTCTTGATGTCTAGAGTTTTTAGGGCTCTTCGGGGTTTAGGTTTGTTAGGCAGTGTAAGGTGTTTCTGGTTTACGGGCTCTCATGTGGAGTTCTAGGAGCCATATTCCCCTAAACCCTAAACCCTAAACCCCTAAACCCCTAAATTGTCTATGCCCTGAAGAGTCTATGAGGTTCCTGGGTTGCTTCGCTTCGAGGGTTGAGGACTCTTCTGTCGTCGCACCTTGCACCCTAAACCTGAATAGGCCTCAAGGGGTGGTGGGCGGGTTTGGGGTTTAGGGTTTAGGGTTCAGGGTTTAGGGTTCAGGGTTTAGGGTTTAGGGTTTAGGGTTTCGGGTTTAGGATATGATAAGGCATATCTATGGGGAGTATATAGGGGAGTAAGAACAAGGGTCCCTGCTAGGGGTCCGTCCTTCTGCCCCTGAAGAGGCCCTAGAAAAACCCAAAACCCTGGCAGCTCCAGCGCAGACCCCCCCTACTTGACCATGGCATTCCTTGCAGCTTGCGGCCATAAGGGCTCTCGATGTGTCGCTGATCCTTTCAGTGTCACATGCAAGCGTCTTCAAACCTGCCGCTGCGCTCGGCTCAAGTCGCTGTTCAGCGGAGTTTAAGCGCCTGGGCAAATTAAAAATATTAACCTGGAGCTGTGCCCACGAAACTTCAGCCGTCGATCGTTTCAAGGCTGACGTGAGATCATGGGAAGATCCCTGGCGCAAGAGGATACAGAGTAACTAGAATAGCTAGAAAAACAGTTGAGGCAGTGCGTGCTGATGGTTTGTCAACCTTCGTCAGACTGCAGGGACTTCTTAGCCGATTTGAAAAGTATAGGAGCTGCTGCCCCAGGAGCAGGGAACCATAAAGGTATGTCAACTGCTCCAAGTGGAGTCGCCCATCACCGGGACTTCCTAACGCCATGAAACACTCGGACAAAGGATATCATGGGGGAAGGACCATCGTTCTGAGTGGATCGCGATAATTACTCTCATCAAATGATAAAAACAAAACGGGTCCCTGCAAACCCTCCCTCTTCCCCCCCCCCTCTCCATCTACACCTCCCTTTCTTAGAGGCGTGTGGCGTGACCGTCAGTACCTCACTGAGCACCTCGTGAACGAACAGCCCTTGACGTGCCGGGGGTGTACAGTCGGGTTTGGGGTCTGGGGCGTGCTGGTGAGACATTGAACCGTTTCTTGCGATACTTTCAGGCCTGATGAGTCAGATGAGAGCTCAGGGACGAAAACTGGAACCCCACAAACTCAAAAGTGGCCCTCCCGGCATGTTTCCTTCTGCAGCACAAGTGCATTTCTCGGAGCAGCCGCACAGCCTACAGAGCTCTAGGCAAAAGGACGCGGGCGCCTGCTAGGTCAACCATGCTGAAGAGTACCACTCGGACATCGAAGTTTCACGCTCTTCGCCGGCGGCTGCAAAGGCTTTCAGTCATCTGGTGAAGTCTGGAAGAGAAAGGCGAGCTTGCAGGAGCACGATGGCGATTGCTTGCGGCGACAAAACTAGGGCTTGCTTGACTACAACTCTATGCTAAGCAGGATGAAGAGCAAGCCCCCCCAGAAAGAAACTAGTTGCAACTTTAACGACTCTTCTTTGGAAAAGCTAGACCAGTGCATCTGTACGGTATATAGCCTCCGTAAAGACTCACGCTCTTAGACTACTTGCAATCGCGGGGTCGACCTCCAGCAATTGAAGATTCAAATAGAAACGGAGCCGATTGAATGTCAGCTCGCAGGTCCGTTCGTAGCAACAAGTGCTATGTCATGCCCCGTGGGGACGGCCAAAAATCCCTGGGTACTCTCAGGCAGCCTTCCATGTGAAGCCTGTGGCATCTTGGACTATGCATGGGCCTGGGGGAAATCCCCGGAACGTTGCATTCAACGAGGGTTCTGCGTGCAGCACTCTCTTTTGGAAACATGTTCTCGGGTTTCCCAGGAGCCCAGAAACTCACGAGCTATACACAGAACTGAGACAAAACTTGAACTCCGCACAAGGGGGTGTGGGGCAGCTGAGGGGAAGGGTCTGCAAGCAATGTCGGCAGGTGTGATGGCACATAGCACGGCAAGAAAGGCGTCACTTGAGGCGAGGCCTGGCAGACAAAGCGCAAGCGGACTTCCGGGGTTTGGTGTTGAGGGTTCAGGGTACAGGGTTCAGGGTTCAGGGTTTAGGGTTTAGGGTTTGGGGTTTGGGACCCCCAAGCAAGCATTCAGGGTCATCCTTCTGGATTCTCAACCCTAAAAACTAAACTAAACCCCAAGCCCTGAACCCCAAAGCCTTAAGCCCCAAACCCTAAACCCCACAAAGGGTCGGACGTAGGATGGGATCTTTAGAGCACTGGCTATGGAAGGGGGCACCCCAGAACCCAAGGGGCTTGCCCCTGTAGGGTTTAGGGTTTAGGGTCTAGGGTCTGGGTTTAGGGTTGGCTCAGGGTTCAGGGTTTAGGGTTTAAGAGGGGGGCCCCTTTCAACAGCAGGTGGTTTTTGATTGTAGCTACATGTGGGGAATTCTTTGTCCATGTTTCCTTACGCAGAACGAGATCTTAACAAGTCCTCTGATAATTTCCCCCTGTTCAGGAACGTGAACTAACTTTCCAAACAATGATCACACACGACATTATGTGCTCTAGATACCCCATTTTGGTAGCTTAAACCCTATAAAACCTAACCCTAAAGCCTAAAGCCTAAACCCTAAACCCTAACAGGAGCCCAGCAAAAGGATTCTGTCCTCGGACTTCACCTTGATCTGGTCAAGGCCTTGAGGATACGTGGGGGATTGCAGGGATTGAAGGGTTTAGGGTTTAGGGTTTGGGGTTTAGGGTTTAGGGTTTAGGGCTGTAGGGCTTATACGGACTATTCATAGGGTTTATGGAGTTTATCTGCAGGGTGTGGCTTAGTGCTTAGGCTCCATGACGGCCAGGTTGCCTTTCATGACCTGCCCTACCCTTTTCCCCAAACCCTCAACCTGAGAGTTTTCCACCCTAAAGCCTTTACGCGCTGCGGTATATATACCACCCCCCCCCCCCCCCAAAAAAAAAAAATAAGCTAAACCCTAAACCCTAACCCTAAACCCTAAACCCTAAACCCTAAACCCTAAACCTAAACCCTAAACCCTAACCCTAAAACCCTAAACCCTTACCCCCCCCCCCCCCAAAAAAAAAAAAAAAAAAAAAACAACTGACTTTGCGAGGCACCGCCATCCTTTGGCAGCTTCTTGCCGACGACGGTCTCTCCGATGTCGGTATAGGCTGGTGAACTCTCGCCCTAGCAGGGAGGGTCTAGAGTTCATGTGGGGTTCAGAAGTTAGGGTTTAGGGTTTAGCATTTAGGGTTTCGGGTCTAGGGCATTTAGGGTTTCGGGTCTAGGGTTTAGGGATGTTTAGGGTTTAGGGTTTAGTAAGGGCTGAGAGTTTAGGGTTTAGGGGTTCAGGGTTCAGGGTTAGAGGATCCAATTGCAAGGCGGAGGCTGACATGATCGTAGAACAGCGCGGCGTCAGGCACGGTGGTACGCAATGCGCGGCAGCTACCCTTCACTTGCTCTGATGAATGCAACGATACACCCATGGCCATTACAAAAGCCGCATTGAAGCGCCATGATGCTGAGAGAGTGATGCTCAGAAGAATGCGCCCCTTTTTCCTCACATCTGGTCTTGCCTAGAGTCTTGCAGGGGAGGGGTCAGAGTCATGCTGTACAGACGAGCAGCAACACTTTGGTAGTCAGAGCCACAACGTAGGGCGCGACAAGCACATGCGGAAACCCTACTTCCTTTGCGCTCGTCACCCCCGACAGTTGTGGAACGGGAGCTGATCCGAGTCATGGGGCCCAAAAAGGGGGCCCCACAACTGCAGACTCATGTTGCTAGTCCAGGGCTTTCACCTTCAGCTTGAAGGGCTGCAGCCCCTGCAGGAACACGCAGCGCCCATGGAACTTGAAAGCCGCCTTGCCGCTCATGTGAGTAACTTTGAAGCCGCCTCCATCACGAGACACCGTGCTGGTGGCATCAGCTTGATTCAGAAGGCTTCTCACTACGTCGACCTGATCTGCCGTGATGATCTGCTCATCATCCATTCCGTACAAGCGGATCATGTAGCCGTGAGCTGCCTTCTTCACGAGCCCGCCCTCAGTAAGAACGACAGGACCCCCGTCAAAGCGCAAGTGCCTCTGAAAGAGGGAGCCCTCGTGGCCCAACAGGCAATAGGCATCCTGCAGACAGGACAGCATCCGCCATGCGAGGCCACCTAAAATGAGGAGGCTGCGTAGATCGCCAGGGTTGTTGGAGCCCCGCAAACTCTCACCCAAGCGCAGGCCCTGGGATCGCGAGGCAGAGAGATCTTCCAGCATGTCCTGGATATGCTCGTTTGCGACGAGCTCGCCGGAGACGGCCGTTAAGGTGACAGTGAAGAGTCCTAAGATGTGGATGACAAGAACAACCAGCTTGCTTACCCAGTTGCATGTTGCCGTGGGGATGACAGGCAGAACACACATGGGCAGTTCTCCAACTGAGCGTGTTTTCTGTGTAATCTAGTACGCCACCCTGAAAATAAAGACCCCCCCCAAAGCAGACCCTGATACAGAGGACTACCCACATACAAACTGAACAGACCAGAAGCTGATGAGGTTCGTCTCCCCATGGCACTTGTGCATCAGCGCGCTTCGCACCAGATCCCTGTGCTTCTCCGGCAGGTCCATCAGGTCTCGTCCGGTCACGAGGTAGAAGAACTTGCGGGCGCACCACACATCCGGGTCACACGCGTCATGCCAGAACCATTGGGGAAGCCTCGCAGCTTCAAGCACCACCCGCTCTTCGAGATCCTCTACGTGCAGCTCTTGGCAGAGCTTTGCCTTGGCAGCATCTCTGCTGCACTGCACCAGCTCCCTATCCTTTTGAGCTCTTCTCGCCTGGGCCTCGAGCTGGGCCACAGGCCTGCGTGCATCCCAGCTGCGCTTCAAGGCCATGAGCGAGACGCGGTGGAAGTCGATGTGCTGGAACCGAAGATCCCGCTCGTCGTCCTCCCAGCTGTCTGCCATGTCAGGGTCGCCCATCAACAACGCTGCCACACGGGCGATCCAAGCACGACTGAACTCGTGTACGGGCCGGAGGTCCTGCTCCCTACCATCCAGAAAGCCAACAAAATCTGCAGGCTCACAGGAGGTGAAGGCGCGCTGGGACTGCAGCAGGGAGATGATCTGACTGGATAGATGCCCATGACAGTATGCGCGAAACAAGCGCTGGGAAGCCAAAGGGTCATCACCTCTGCCAGGCTCGTCGTTTGGTCGCAGGCGAACTTCGTAAAGAAAGTCCATGGTCAAAGGGTCCATCGGCCCAGGCGGAAACACCGAAGTGAGCCCACAGGCGAGCCTGCCCCTGTAACTCCATGCGTCTGTGCCATGCTCGCATGGCTGGTGGTCGTAGGCTTCCAGGTCATACTGTCGAAGGAAGAGGTCTGCAGCCTTCTCGTCCAGGAGGCTTTTCACAGCCTCCTGCCAAGCAGCGCCTTTCAGGTCTACGTGCTCTGCCTCAACCGAGGGGGTAAGGTCCGTGCCGAGCTTGCAGGCGAGAAGCCGCACATCGCCCATGCTCTCCACACGAAGCCTCTGCAGCCTGTCCTGCACAGACAAGGTCTTGGCGTGGAGTCCATCCTCCTGAAACAGGAACGACCTGCCAAGCAATACGCAACCCTCACCTGCGAAGCTGATGAGGAAGTCTGAGTCATCTGACAGCAACATGACCGCGTTCTGGCGGGTCGCATAGAGGGCAACGGCAACGTCGGCATCGGTGGAGCGCGACTGTGCTCTGAAGATGCGGTGGCTACCTTCCAGGCTACGCACGACCTCGAAGAACAGGGACCTGGTTTTGGCAACTCGAGTCGAAGGTTCTTAGGGTTTAGGGTTTAGGATTTAGGGTTGCATACCACTATTCCATGTAACATAGTAAGCCCAAACCCACAATCAAACTCAGAAAGCCTCGAAACCCCTGAACCCTAAAGTGAGTATTCTACTCATTCTATTCAACGACCCGGAGGCAGGAGAGGCGTCGTTGAGCTGGTGCCCCCCCGCAGGCTGAAGCCAAACTCGCTGTAGGCCTAGAACCCCCGTCGCGCCAGGAACAAAAAACAAAGAACAATATGTTTTCATGTTCATTCTGCTTATAAAACCATTTTGCCATTTGTCGCTAAACTTCAATTAATGGCTCGCTACTCCCCGGATGCAAACGAACTGTTCTGACTCTGCCTCTTCTGGAGATGCAGTGTTGCTTTTTACTATAAACTCTTGTGGTTCTTTAATGGGTACTGTTGTTATCGTATATGCTTCCATATGGTTGTATAAGATTGTAGAATATTGTTTCCTGGTCCGAAAGATGGCTATTTCGCTGAAACATGCTTCTGCTTCGTACAAGCAGCTGCCACAGCTTCCGCTGCCTCGCCCAGCTTGTCGACTTTGCGCCTTGCAGACAGAGTACCAGCCCAAATGCCGGATGTGAAAACCCCACCCTGTAAGACCTTCAACCCCAAAGCCCTAAACCTTACCAGCCTAAACCTCAAATAATGCAAACCTTAAGCCCTTGCGCCTCAAGGATTCCGGAGTCTTCGCGTCGTAGCCATCCTTCTGGCCAAGTGAAGAGTAGCAGGGGCAGTAGCAGTATCCGTAGCAGTAGCAGTAGGATAGCGGTAGCGGTAGCGGTAGCGGTAGCGGTAGCGGTAGCGGTCGTGGTCGTGGTCGTGGTCGTCGTCGTCGTCGTCGTCGTCGTAGTAGTAGTAGTAGTAGTAGTAGTAGCAGTAGTCGTAGTAGTAAGAATAGTAGTAGGAATAGTAGCACTAGTACCAGTAGTAGTACTAGTAGACTACTACTGGCAGTAGTTGTCGTAGCAGTCGTCGTCGGGTCGTCCTCGACGTTGCAGCAGCTGTGGTAGCTACGGAACTTGCTATTGCCATCGTCATTGCTGGAAACCATTGAAAAAAGATCGCACTAGGCAGACTGCAGCAGGGTCCTTTGTGTAGGGTTTAGGGCTTAGCTTCTTCGAGCATCCTCGTCTTTGAGCCCGTCGAAGATGAAGTGCAGCATCGCCCCGGGACACGCCCGAAGCAGTTCCGTCAATGTGTATCCTTACTGGACCATGCATCACGGATGTAAAAAATTTCGGGTCTAGGGATCCAGTTTCATGGTCTTCCGGATTAAGATCGAGGGCCAACTTGTGTTTCAATTCTTTTCTGCCAGAGTACAGTGCCACTCAAGCGCTGTACGCAAAGCATGGTTCCCCAAGACACGGAGCTGCTTACTAGGGCCCTGCATTTACTGCAGCTGTATACGTTGAGCGGCTAACTTGGACCTTACCTTTGTCCTGTCCCTGACCGAGATTCAAACAAGAGCGTGGGATCCTTTTAGTGCTTGGGGTGTTCTTGGGTTGTGGGCAACTTGTTCCCTGAAAAAACATGGCACTAACTGGTCGGGCTCAGAACCTAAACCAAGCCCCACCCTAAACCCTAAACCCTAAAGGCCCTAAACCCCAAAGGCCCTAAACCCCAATTACCACAAGGCGAGCAGCTCACCATCTCGCTCAACTCCCGGAAGCGCGGAAGCCCGGGGGATGCCAAGCGAGACACCATGCACATGAGGAAGTTCATCCCGTCCACCACCTTATGGCAGTGCAGTTCGGGGTTTGGGGTTTGGGGTTTGGGGTTTGGGGTTTGGGGTTTGGGGTTTGGGGGTTGGGGGTTGGGGGTTGGGGGTTGGGGGTTGGGGGTTTGGGGTTTGGGGTTTGGGGTTTGGGGTTTGGGGTTTGGGGTTTGGGTTTGGGGTTTAGGGAGTAGGGTTTAGGCGTATTGGCTCAGGGATGGACGCCCCTTCTGCTTCGTGGGGCTGAGGCCTACCAGGACATTTACATCAGCCACGCCTAGAATACATTCGGAGTCACCCTAGAGTCCCTAAAGCCCTGTAGCTCCTCAAAGTCATCAGCAATGCAGAATCTGCAAGGGGACTCCCTGAAGTGTTCCGCAACTGCGAAAGAATCAGTATGTTTTATGCATTACGCATGTATCTGAACCGTATAAACGTATTCCAAGCAAGACCTGGCCGCAATCACAGGCTGCAGTCCCTTGTCCAGAAGCTGCACCCACACGCCCTTTAACGGCCGTGCCTCCACGCCTTTCTTGCCGAGACTCCTAGAGAAACATAACCTTGATGAGGCTCGGGTTGTTTAACAACTGAAAGTCGAAAGTACGCATAAAAGTTACCAAGGAAACCTAAAGCCATCAGTCAGTCAGCAGTCACCCAGCACAAGCTTAAAACCCTCATAAGCCTAAAGCTCTACAAAAAGACAACCCAGACACCGCAAGCAAGGTCGCCAGCGAAAGCGCCCCTTGATACCCATCGGGATCGAAGCGCCGCGATGAGCGCTACGGCACCACTATGGCACGGAACTGCTTGCCGTCGTGCTTCGATCTTAGCTACTGGTTTGAGCCAGCGGTGCCGCGGTCAAGAATGAGAGTGCGAAGCACAAGGTTTCTAGCCCCTGTGCCCCCTGGGGGGATTTTCCAGAAAGCCCCGTGCCTGAGACCTTTGCAGAAGCTCCGCCGTGACGTACAGATTCACTGCAAGCATCCTGGAAAGGATTTACGGTTTAGGGTTTAGGGGTTAGGGGTTTAGGGCTTCGTGGGTTCATGCTGTTTAGACTGTGCACAACATCGGCTTGCGATGAACACAGCACATGCCCGGCACTTGGTCACGGTGCCCACATAACTGCGGCTTAGGGTTTAGGGTTTAGGCCCTAAACTTTAGGGTCTAGGATGAAGCATCTGGAAAGCTACCATCATCAACATTACCAGAGGACTTGTAAACGGCGGAAGCCAAAGTTGCTTTGAGGAACTGGAAGCAGTTTCGGAGCTGCTGCTCTCGGATCGGAGCACTTGGCAGATTGTGCTCAACCCTAAACCCTAAACCCAAAACCCTAAACCCTTAAACCCTAAACCCTGAACCCTAAAGCCTGAACCCAAAACTGCGCCTCAACCCCGTGCCCTGTTCAGCCCTACGCTGGCCAAGGCGCAGCGGTACCGGAGTTCCAGCGATGAAAATTCGCGGGGCACCTGTTCAGGGATTCCCTGCTGGTTCTCAGGGTTTAGGGTTTAGGGAATTTGGTACCTTACATCCCCCTACATATTCAAAGGGTGCTATACCTCGACCCAAGAGTAACCTAGGAATGAAAAGGGTCTTTATTCAAATGGAGTTGATGAGGGGAACCTAAACCCTAAAGAAAGGCGATGAGGGCCTATTGAAGGCATTTAAAATCCAGCTGCTGCGTTTAGAGATTAGGGTTTAGGCCCTTGGGATACTTTAGATTATGATTGGCCTCTATTTGGTTTGCCTGAGGGCGTTGAGTTACCACGTAAACATGCCATTCTAGGCACATGGCGCAGACTACCGAGACCACCGTGGCAACTTGAAGGCAAGTGCTTAGGTTTTTTGTGTTTGAGGCTTGGGGGAACGGTTCCAGGACGTAGGGCTTAGGGTATTGGACTTGTTTTGGGTATTGGGCGGGCCGCTATACAGGGTTTAGGGTTCAGCCTCTAAATGGTGACTTCTTTTTTTGTTGGGGGGGGGGGGGGGAGGTTTTTTTTTTCCAAGTAGGGGTGCCTTCTTCGGCGACACGGAATCCTATTCGAGAAGCATACGCCTTCAACCCAAAACCCTAAATCCTAAACCCTAAACCCTAAATCCTAAACCCTAAACCCTGAACCCCAAACAAGCACCTTCAACCTTCATTCAGAACCATCCTTCCGATAACTCCGAGGAGCTCGCACCAGAGGCGTCGGGTTTTAGGGGTTTTAGCTGCCTTGTGCGTTGAAGTCTTTGAAAAGTCATGTTTATGAGTAGGTTCTTGGGAGGCTCCCCCTGATACTAGCCGTCCTGAATGGGGATTATGGTCCCCCTATGATAATCCCTATTAAGGACTGCTAGTAGAAGGTGGAACATCCCACATAGGTTTCCTTACAAGAAAGAGGGGAATACTCATCAATGGGTTCCCTTACAAGAAAAAGACTCAACAACCTGATCCTCCCGAGACGGCTGGTACACGGGGAGCCGCTGACCCGAAGAGCTCAGTTTAGGGTCTTGGGCTGACGGCATGCTAGCTTGTCCAGGTTTAGGGATTTAGGGGTTCAGGGGTTTAGGTGTTCTTGGGGTTTCGGGGTTTAGGGGTTTAGGGTTAGGGCTTCTCAAGAGGCCTTGGTGGCTCAGGAGTTTTGGGGGTTTAGGGGTTCTTGGGGTCTGGGTTTCAGCGGATGAGCCCATGGTCAGAAGCAAGCTGGGGCATGTTGAGCTTTACCTGCAAGCCCAAGCGACCATAGGGCTTGAGTGCTGTGAATCCGAAACCCTTAACCGCCGAGACCATACAGCCAAACCCGAATCCAAACCCTAAACCCTAAACCCCTGAACCCTAAACCCGTGAACCCTCAACACTCAACCCCAAGCCCTGGACCCTGAACCCGAAACCCTAAACCCCGAACCCTGAACCTCGATTCCGCACAAAGTACGATCCCTCTCGGATGATTGGCGTGCCTGGGTCTTGAATGGCATCGTAGCCGGACTTGGCGCAGAAGAGCGCCAAGTTGGGTCCCAAACCTTCCGGAGCATGGGGATCTAAGCTTTAGAGTTCACGATTAAGGGTTTAGGGTTCAGGGTTTAGGGTGTGGGGCTTGGGGTTTCGGGTTTAGAAGAACCCTGGGATAGAGACTTTCGGGTTAAGGGTTCTAGATGGCGTTTGCATGCTCGTGTTGGAGCTTCGTGTCACAGATGGTTTTTAGTGCGGCAGGGCGGTTTAAGTTTGCGCCTCTAGGCGCTCAAAACACTAAACCCTAAACCCTATAAACTCCTTCTGGGAGATGCCTTGGAAGATTGCCGGCTTCACGTAGCGAAGGCCACTGCTCTCGGAGCTGACCATTTGTCTGAGAATGCGGTGTGCGGCTGCACATTGCTCCTGCGTCACGAAGTTTATCACTGCCAGCTTTGGCCATGGCAGGTACACGAAGTCAAAGGCCCGCGTGCCCTGACAGGAAAGCTCAAGTGCTTTTCCAGAGAATCATAAGCGGACTTGCGGCGGAAGCATCTTACGCATTGCTTGAGTTCCGTGTCAACATGAAATTGTGCACCACCTACGCAAGTAGTAGTAATGCCTTGCGACAAAAGGCACATCAGAAACAAGTCGTCGGTGCGACGTGCACTTGCGCACGTCACGTGCAGCTCACGCTCATGACCCATCGCAACAGACGATAAATTTAGCCCAGCTTCGCCACAGAACTTGCTCAGCATAAACAGGATGCCCTCGTAGTTAATCTTGGCGTTGCTCCTGCCGGGGGAAGGGGAGTGGATGGGGGGGGGGGTAGAATAGAAGGATGCGCCCGAGCCGTGCGCCATGAACTACCCATCCACAAAGCCCTGAGCCCTAACCACAAACCCCACACCCCCTGTGGCAAAATGGGGGTTTACGATATGAGGGGTACCTAAACCCTAAGTCCTAAACTCAAAAACCCCAAAGTAAACCCTAAACCCAAACCCTGAACCCTAAACCCGAAACCCTGAACCCTAAACCCCCCACATGGAGAACACCCCCGACCTGATCACCAGCGTGGTCGTGCCGTGGTCCAGTGCCGACATGTTCGCGACTTAGTGTGCTGCGAAGTCTGCTGCTGTTCTTCCCCTGAGCCGAAACGTCTGAGGGATGCTCAGACACTAACCTCTAGAGTCAATCTAAGGATCCATGTACCTCTGTAGTATATACTTGGGCCTTAAAGGGGCTAAGTATCTACTATATGGGTATACATGGATCCTTGTGGTCAAGCCTCAGACCCATAAACCTGTACACTAGACTCTAAGCCCTGTAAAACCCGGAACTAGCCACCCCAAAGCCATGAACATGGGATGTTCACCCTTGCACTACTTGTAACCGCCCGTAAGGGGGTACTAAATATCCGAACTGACGGCTGTTCGTATAAGGGGGAACATCCCAACCTTAAACTGTAACTAGACCACACGTGTCCACGCCGCGCAGCAATACGCGGGAACTGAGTCATCTAGGGTTAGGGTTTCGGGTTTAGGGCTGCCTTTAAAACCGTGAGCCCCGGTGTTCTGTGGTGCAGGCCATACTGCCCCGTAGGTATCGCGAGATGGATGCAGAGCCGTTGCCTCAGAACTGGAGCCACAGGAGGTTCTGTAACCCTATGTACGGAATACTATATAAGGATTTTAGGGATCATATAAGGCTTTAAGGTTTAGGGTTGGGGGTTTAGGTGTAAGGTTTAGGTTTCAGGGTGTAGGGTTTAGGGTTTAAGCATCCACAAAATGGAAGCCCCCAACAATGCCCGGATAGTCCTCAATGTTGTAACGGTTATTGTGTTGGATCCATGATAAGGGGGTCTGGGTTCCACAGCGGTGATGACAAGACCCCGGAAGAACTCGTTGCAAACGCATCTGCGAAAAAGTGCCAATCACGAAGGTGTCTTGCAAAGCTTGAGGACTTCATGGCTTGAAATGTGCTTGCGAACATCACACTCAGCTTCAACTTGGAACTGCCTGCCATTGACTTTTCGTCGTTCCGAAGCGCGTTCTCACAGTCGTGTCCCGGGTGAAACACCAAAGCGCGACCATCTTGCAGGTAGTGCAGGAAGTTCCTCCTCCCCAGAACTGGGCCATCGTCTTTATGAAAAGATGTCTCATCGACGTCGTCAGCCAATATGGGGCTAATTGGCTTCTTCACCCCCTCAACACTGGGAAAAACCCACATTAGGTGGGGGGGGGGGTGGTTCTTTTCAGGGAGTCACAAGTATACTGCCATTGTCGAAGAGCGGTGCCCATGTGCCGACGAATCCTCAGATCGATTCTTGCAGGCCAGGAGCAGAAGCAGGGCATTGCAGGACATTTGGGTTTAGGGAGTTTAGGGTTTAGGGGTCCTTCATTAAACATTACCATATACGATTATCCTTGTTTATAAGCCTTCTCGAGGATCGTTAGGAAACCCCAAGGAAAGGACCTTACATCATGGACACCCCCAGTCCATGCGAACCAGCGTCTGAGAGAGAAGTGTTGCTGTACACCGTCTTCACGAGTTTGATCAAGACCTCTCTGCTCTTGCTCGTCATGCCAGCATGATGGAAAATGCTGCAGCATAAGGAACGAAGCCACAGCAGAAAGACACATACGAAGCAGGCACTTGTGGAAAAAAAACAAATTGAGACCTCTGGCTCTTTCAGGGTAACCACAGCCGCAGTGGGGACGCATGCACCTGTGCACACCAGGCATAGCACAGCACATGTGTCTGTGAGGAGATCGCGGTTGAGCATCACGAACCACAGGAAGTCATCAGCAGAATGCACCTCGATTCTGTAGGGGTCAGGGTTTAGGGTTGTGGGCACCAAGCAAAGATGCCAACAACATGCACCTGCAGAAAAAGGAATGGGAGCATTGTTATTTAGCCAGCAAGCCGGACGATCTGCAGAGCTCAGAAGAGGTGCTCCAGCACCAAAAAAGAAAACAACTCCATCAAATAACGTCTAACAACCCATTAATTGTAGACGTGATGAATGTATATGGGAAAACCGTGCCTTGCTTGTGTGGGACAGCATTGTGTGGAAGCTCCCGCTCGGGACATCTTTACATCCTACGCCCTAGCCGCAAACCCCAAGCACCAATCCCTTGGAATTTTATCAAAATAGTTCTTATGTGATCCCTAACAAGGACCCCCATAATCCATATAGAATCCCTCTATACCTCGTGGGGTCCCTAGGGTACCCCCTTTTTGAGAACCCCCCCCCACTCTTGAGGGGATGACGCAGGCCCAACAGGGGCACTCATACATACGCGACACAGCCTTGCCGAAGCATGTATGAGCCCTGGACTACATTATGACTGAAAAAAAGACACGCTCATTAAGATCTTACTACTCTGGAGTCTGCACCCTCAACCGCCCAATTTTAAAGATCTGAATATTGCCGCAATTTGGTCAGGGGCTCATATTGAATGGAGTGCACCAGCTGCTGGACCACCAGAACCACCGCCACAAGCCCAAACGCGATGCCAATGTAGAGTAATACCGTCAACACCTGGGGGTTTCTTTAGGGCATAGGAGCCCCTGGTTAAATCATGTATGTCCCCCTAAGGACACCCCTGTATAGTCTCTCATTATAACCCTGATATAGTTAGAAAACCCTATATAACCCTAATTTAATCAGGGATCCAAGTGGTTTGGGCTGTTTTTGTTCAAGTAGCGACATCGGATCAATGCCGTCAAGACCTGTTATTTGGGGCTTGGGGCTACTTCAGTTCAAATAAGCTTCTGTGGGAACGCCAGTAAAGGATCTGTACTGCAACGATGTTGGAGCTTTCGACACTGGAGGGGTCCCTTTGTGCGGGGTCCCTGTCCTAGAGATCATCTGTGGTATTGGGGGTGGAGGGAGCCTAATGTTTGGATACCAGCATGTAGGGATAGTGCCACCTCCTTGGCAGTCTCCCTGTGGCTTGCTAGCCAGTCATCAGCATCGCAGATTTGGAAGGGTTCGACGATGGACGTCCAGAGCAGTGTGGTGAACAAAGCTGCGACAACTCCCAGATTGACCCAGGCACTTCGCTTGCTATCCAGCCTGTGTGGTGCTTGTTCTCTACCCATGCAGAAGGAAGCAAAAGACTTAATCTAGGGCCAAACAGAAGGCCAAAAGACAAAAGCATCACTTGAATATTCTTGGGTGGACCCTAAACCCTAAAGCCTAGAGTTCACCACAGTTAAAACCTTGTTTTGGATTTTGACAGGCCTTCTTAGAACTACCCATGGCCCTAAACCCTTAAGCTCCATGAACCTCTGAGTAGACTTCCAAGTATAGGGCCTGAAGCAGGGCCCCTTTTTCAGGACCAAGGTAATAAAATACAGACTTCTGGGGTCCCAAGGTCCTGATTATTGGGCGCTTGAATGCCTAGGGGCCTAGGGCTGTGTGATGACCTCTAAAGCGTTTCCAGATACGAGCCGGCAACGTGACATGCCAACCGCGCAGTATGACGCTACGCGCGACGAGATGGAGGTCACTGGAAGATTGCAGCATGCTCACAAGTGTCTTGCATAACTGCTCTGCGTCGTAAGATACGCTGAACATCATCTCCAGGTTGTCGGCCACATGTGAGCTTAGCAGTCGGTCATCTAGAATCTGGCTCCCACTCATCCCTCCATCCCAAGGCAGCGGGCGAGCCAAACAGTGGTTTAGGGTTAAGGGCCTGAAGGGCTGGGCATAAGGCTTTAAGTTGTTATGGTTTAGGATATCTTGGGTTCAGGGCTTTAAGTTTCAGGGTTTCGGATAGTCTTTTGTTTTAGGGTTTGGGGTTCAGGGTTTAGGATATGTTGGGTTTAGGGATTTAGGGTTTTAACCCGACCACGTTGGCCCGCAGACCGGCTATGTCTCTTGGAATGGCTTGGCGAGGATCGGACACTCTTGCAACTTACTGGTGGTGACAAGGGAATATGGGAATACAATGAGATTCGAGAGGGTTTTAGGAAATATGGGAATATAACCCATACATAAATTCAATACAACATATTCCCTTATTCCCTACTAACCACCAGTAAGGCAAGGCAAGGCAAGCTCGAAGCCAGAAGACTGCAGTCGTAAAGGAAAAGAAACTACTTGGATGCTAACCAGAATGCTTCTAACCGTGTAGTAGGGCCCATGAACATGGTCTGTGTTGGGCTTACAAGCTTTACAGGATTTCGTCTCAGGGCGCTAAACCCTCTTAACCCTGAACCTCTAAACCCTTGAGCCCTGCGCCAAACCGTTCCCCAAAACCCCCTGGCTAGAGAAAACACACACACACACACACACGAAAGGCTAACCCCTGAACGTTTCATTCTCACGACCCTAAACCCTATTCGGACTATACACCCATAAACCCAAATAAACCAAAACCCTACTTTCTTCCAGAATCCCGATCACAGGGCGGCGGCCGGTCGAACTCCTTTCTGCAAGACGTCGCGGTGTTTCCATGGGCCACGCCTGAGCTGGTACTGCAGGGCTTTGTTTATGGTTCAGGGACTGGGTTGAGAAATCTTGGGTTGAGGTGTTGGGCTCAATTCAGGGTCTTAGACTCCGGTTCAACTCGGCTTTGGGGTTTAGTGTCTCAGTAGGTTTGAGGGCGGGGGGGGTTAGTATCGGGGTAGCTTGGGTTTAGCATGAAGTTCCATGGCAAAGACCACATAGAGCAAGCCACATACGAGCCTTTAGTTACCAATCGCTGAACTGACCGGCGCCGGCTTATACATAAACCCAGCATAAACCGATAGCTTCCCTAAGCCCTCAAGCAACCCCTCAAGCCCAAAAAGTTCAAAACCGCGAAAACCCGGGCCCTGACTGACTGCTTGTATCCAGGAGCCTTTAAACTCAGTGCATGGGAACAAAGGTTTGGGGTCTAGGGTTTAGGGTTTGATGAAAGGAGTCGACCACAGTCACAACACATCAGCCCTGGATTCAATCGTTCAGACACTTGCTGGGGCAGGAGCTACTTCTCGCCATGGTTGTAAAGTTACCTGCGAAGGCTGGATTCAAGACTGCACGTTGGATTTTCGGAAATACCCTCAACTCTAAACCCTAAACCCTAAACCCTTAAAAACCCTAACCCCCCCCCCCCCCCCCCGCCCCCAGGTACCCATGTCACAAGCAGGGCCAGTTTGAGTGTCTATGGGCGGGGTTGTAGGTTCGTAGGGAGGGGTCCGATGAAGAAAGAGGTACCGGAAGGAACCGTGGGAAGCCTCGGAAGCATAGGCACTGGGGGCTGCACGAGGTTTGGGGTTTGGGGTTAGGGTTTAGGGTTGAGGGTTTATGGTGGAGCCCGCAACTGCTGTCAAAACAAACTCCCAGCTCGACGACCTGCCCCAAGGCATGCCCAACTGAGGCTGAACTCCCGAAACCCTGAGGCCCCGAACGCCCCAAAACGCCGATTAAGACAAGCTGGAAAACTCGTCAGCCCTCTCAGAAGATCCTAAACCCTAAGCCCTAAAACCTAAACAAGCCTTTAGCCGTCACGAACCCAGCCCATAACCTGCCTGCTCAGGGAGGACCTCGCGGCTAGTGAAGGCTTGAAGGGGGCTTCGAGAGGCAGTCACTTGGGCGCTGGGGTTTAGGGTTTAGGGTTTCTGGTTTAGGGTGTAGGGTTTGGAGTTTGGGGCTTAGGGAGACGGCTTTGGGGTTTGGGGTCTTAGGCGCTAGGGTGCTTTCTCTTGGGCGATGCTTTGAGGATTGCTGTCAGCCTCCAGTTATGCACTCTTTGAAGTGGCCCGTCGAGGAAGCAGCCAGCCGAATTGTAGTATTCCAATGAACGATCACATCTTTTCGCCATGTCATCTATTGTGCGCACACAGATGCGTTTGACCTGCTTCCACCAAGTGTAGCGCTTGTGGCGTTCAGTGTGATAGCTGCGTGGGCATAACTAGTGCTTCTAATGAATCAAGGTCTGCAAAAGGAGTACAGAATGAAATCCTCTCATGCGCTGCGCAGCACGAGTGCTGTGGATGTGCTCAACAAGACCCAAAACCATGAGGAAGTAGTTAGAAAGAAGAAGAACCTCATACCCCAGACAGCTCAGCAATCACACAGGGGCGCAGATCCCCGGGGAATGTACAGAAACCCAGCACAAGTGGAGACCTTGAGGTGCAACAGAAAGTAGAAGCACCATCCGAACGATCGGTCAACCCTAGCCCAACAAAAAACATCCGAATTGCAGAGACAGCGCCTGGAAGCCCGGTCTCGGAACCAAACTGCTTGCCAAGACCTGCTGCCTCAAAGACAGGAGAATGAATCGATGGCAGTTTGGGTTTGGGGTTTTAACTGCGGCTGTAGCCGCGCAATGCCCGCAACTGCCTGCACACACAAGCAAACCCTAAACCCTAAACCCGTTTTCCTAAACCGCTCTGAATGGGGCTCTTCTGCAGGAACACGGGTTCAGGAATCTACGGTTTGGGACGACAATCGCCCTCTCAGAACTGTAGGATCTGTGGCGGCCTTGTGCAGGTAGGATGCCATGGAGTTGCAAAAAATGGTACTATAGGGTTTAGGGTTCCGGGTTGATGACCACAGCTTTTAAGATACAGCCGCAGCTCCTTTCCGGGAATGCCCATGATTGCTACCCGAACTCCGTCCTTCCGACCGTGACGAAGTCTCAGGACGGGGCAGCGATGGGGAGATAGACCCATACCACCAGGTCAGGTTGACAACAGCATCGAGGTCGATGCCTATCGAGCTCCAGATTCAGGGCACTTCAAATCGGCCTTGGTGTCAAGAGGTTTAGGGTTTAGGGTTTAGGGTCTAGGGTCTAGGGTTTAGGGTTTAGGGTCACGAGCCCTGGATTCCGCACATGAGCTTCCTGTCAAGCGTCCGCGCGTGCCTGCCAGTGTGACGTAGGAGAAGAGCACCTCTTTGACCTGGAGCCCCAAAACCCTGAACCCCAAGCCCTGAACCCTAAACCCCTCAACTCCTAAACCCCGAAACCCTAAGCCCGAAATAAGCTGAAAGATCATGACAGATCTTGGCTTCCAGATCCAATCCCTCGGTCGGAATTGTAACTGTGGCAGCTGCAGATTTCATGAGCCTGTGGGTTCGACAGATGTAGCTGTCAACCAACTACCGCAGGATACAACTTCCGTTCCGAGCCTGAACCCGCGTGGTTGAGCCAACTATAGCAGCGATGGTATACTAAGGCCACAAACGTATCGGGGGGTGCGGGGGGGGGGGGGGGGGGGGACTGGGGGCGGGGGGAAGACTAGCAATAGATTATATAAGGTCTTGAGGTTTGGATAGCTCGAAGCCGAAGCCCCCTCTTTAAGTGCCCCCGCATAGGCGGCATCGCCCAAGGGGAGACAAATCGGCGTCTGCACATACCTGGCTGATGCCGCGGCGGAAAGAATGAGTTCTTGAGGCGGCTGGGTGTTAAAGTGAAGTAGCACCTGAGCTCATGAAGCTATGAACCACTGGCCCAATCTGAAAAAGAGGCCAGCATCACAATCCGCCAGCTTTTTCGCCCAGTCTCAGTCGTATGGTCATGTGATGGAACTTGCCACGAGCGTAGCTCGTGAATAACTCTGGATATGTCTGATCCGAGGTAAAGCAGCCACATGTGTACCTCGAAGTCGTATCTGCTCTCTGCTTTGTGGTGAAGCTGGGGTTATCACAATATCGGGATGTCCATATCCTCATAACCCAGAAAAAGCTGACCATGGACCATTCTCTAATCCGCTGAGGCCTCGAGTTTGCACTGGCCCACCTTCCCACCCTCCTTCTCCTTATTTCAAGCACCTCTGCGCAGACCCGTCGCGCAGCGCTAAAATCAGGGGCCCGTCTTGGTGTACCCTACCATATACCAGGAACCCCAAAAAAGGGGGCTTCTCACCTAGGGAACCTTGAAGCCTCTCACGCGGACCTGGAGGCAACGCATTTGTACTCTCCAGATCGGGCGTAGCCCTCGTCGCAGATGGCGCGGCAGGTGCGATCTCGGTGGACATCGAGGTGGCTAAACAAAGTTGGGATGTTCCCCCTTGTAATTTTATCCAGATTAAGGACTGTTAGGAGGACCGTCCCAAGATATGAGACAAACCGCCAGAACCAGCCCCAACAGATTGCAATTCACACGGGACCCCTTGTTAGTTAATTGCTGCAGGGCTTGGGCAGCTGCCATTTTGAAGGAATGAGCAACCAGCAACCTTCCAGCGAGCAGCAGAGGTGTTTTCGGAAGCCCTTTCAATCCTGCCTGCGCAAGTCCTACTATTGGCTAAAGAACACCCAAAGCATGAAAGAAGTATTCTTCATGATGACGTAAATTTGGGGTTTATTCTCGAGCTATTGGGTGGTTCTTATGCAAATAGTAGAGTACCGGCCTGCTCAGTGGGACATGAGCTTGGGGTATCCTTCTTGCAAGGATGGCGCCGCAAGAGATGTTGACCGAGCCGTGCTTAACAAGCGCATTCTTCTGCGTTGCTTTTGCTGAACAATCATACAGTGGTAGCAACCATGCAAGTTCTGTGGCAGTGGGAATAGCCTCAAGTATGCAATTACGTAGTTCTGCAGTTTTGCAATGTTGTGCATCATGTACTTATGCAACTATATGCCGGAGAATTTTATTGCGGGCGGGCGATGGCAGACAGCACAACATTCGACCCCGCTGCCCCCCTCCGCACCGTCTT